CTCCCACAACATCCTTCCCTCTAAATTGGAGAGATATGGATATGATGGGTGGACTGTTCCATGAATAAGGTTGGATGGTCGCATCCAGAGACTAGTAGTCAACAGCTTAATGTCTAGATGGAGATCGGTCACAAGTGGTGTCCCTCAGGGGTCCATACTGGGACCAGTACTGTTCAATATCTTCATCAATGGCATGGGCAGCAGGATTGAAAGCACCTTCAGCAAGTTTGCAGATGACACCAGGCTGAGACAGAAGCCATGCCAAACTGAAAGCAGCAACAGGGATCATCATAACAGGCTCCTCACCAGGGAGGTTCTTTACCACAGGGTGTTGTTTGCCCTCATGCAGTTTCTGACGGTGAAAGTATCAGATGTGAAACAGAAATCCAGAGGGTGTCACCCAGTAAGGGCTTTTCTCTGATGACCCCAACCAGTGTGCAGAACGACAAACCACCACCACCACCCCAGCCCTGCAGTCACCAGACAGACATACAGCAGAGCTCAGCCTAGTCCCCTTTCAGGTAGTCAGGGTTGCAGAAAGTGTCTGTGGTGAACACAGACCAAGAAAGATTCAGTCAGTCATAGCATTTCAATTTACACTGAGGCTGGCTGTCCAAAAAAACAGAAAATGCTTGCTAGCTTTTTTTTTTTTTTCTTTTAACATAATGCTAGCTTGCTTTTTTTAATTCTCCTTTATCTCCCAAAATAGCTGGGGAACTTAGTTTTCATAATATTTTTAAGTATTGTACTTAAATACTCAGCTATATATAATTAGCAGATGGAATTACTTGCACATACAAATGACAGCTTCCAAATTAGCATCGTATTGAGACACAAATGTAAACCCATAAGAGTCCCAATCTGTTTTCCTCACTGTGAGCTCTTTCTTTGAAATTAGGATGCCTATTTTTCTCCAGCTCTTTGTTGTTGTTGAACTTTCTGCTGCCCGTACCATACCTCTGGCAGCCAAGGACCCGTTTACATTTGCTTTCACCGTGGGAGCGACGATCCCTGAAGATGAAGACTGAAGTTTGGGTTGTACCAAATGGATGTTCTTCAAACTCCTGTCTTTCTTCTTGCCTCAGGTTTGACTCAGCGAGTGTCTGCAGAGGCAGAGAGCAGCACACACTTGCTCTGATTCTGCAGCTGGAGCGTGGGCGACATGGACCTTTTCTTCTTCTGTTCCACAGGCAGGTGGTGACGGTCATTAGAAGTCCATGTGGTGTGAATAAAAGGCAACACAAAGAAAGCAATAATATTATATTTTTATGTCGTTAATATCATACTGGAAGACAGTTATAGAGAAAAGCACTGCAAGCTTCCATAAAAGGCTAGAGGAAAAAAATGACATTTTTTTTTTCCCCCTCCATGTGGAAAATGAACACAAAGGATAACAAATGCCAACGACAGAAGTAAGAAAAAACTCCAAACAATTTCAGAAGCAAGTAGCTGATAAAATATCAGTGCTCTCTCTGTTCTTGCTGGTACAGTGGCCAGAAAGAGCCAAGGTAAGTATGAGGGAAGTGCTTCGAGCGGCTCCAAAATGCTACTACAAGATGTAACTTTTCCAGATAAAGAAGTTTATGGCAGCTCTCATGTGCAAGAAAGGCCAAAACAGAAGCCTATTCTTTGCTACCTGGAAGGAAGGTCAAATAATATCAAAATATATAGCAATTTATATTAGCCAGAGAACCAAGTCTTGGCATTTTAATAGTAGTAAGAAAGATTGGGTGTTTTGACTGCTTAGGCAATAGGATAGGCTTTTTAATTTGTTAAACTAAACTGATAGTTGTCTGGTGGGTATTACCTAGATTTTAAGACAGAAGCCAAAAAAAAAAAAAAAAAAAAAAAAGAGGGGTGGGCAGGTTATAGAGGGTCACTGAGTCCTGCTGGTGGTGGGTGAGAATAAAGATATTATTTCCATAAGACTGAACTGTAGAAGTTGAGCTGAGGGATGTGGAGGAGTCACTCCTCTAACAATACCAGACATGACCATTGGATGTGCAGTTGTCACAACTGATCTTATTCTCATGACTTACAGAAACAAAACTTCTAGGAAATGAGCACGCCCACAGACACCTTCATGGGAAGTTCCCATCATGACTCTCGAGCTCCAGTTACAGATGTCTGTGAATTCATGGGACAAATTTTAAGGAGCCTGAAAAGAGTAACAGAATCATAGAATTGTCCAGGTTGGAAGGGACCTCTAAGATCATCTAGTCCAACCATCAACATAACTCTGATAAAAAACCATCACTAAACCATGTCTCTAAGCACTACGTCAACCTGTCTTTTGAACACCTCCAGGGATGGTGCCCCAACTGCTTCCCTGGGCAGCCCATTCCAAGGCTTAATAACCCTTTCTGTGTAAAAGTTTTTCCCAATACCCAATCTAAACCTCCCCGGGTGCAATTTGAGGCCATTTCGTCTTGTCCTATCACCTGTGACTTGGGACAAGAGACCGACCCCCACCTCTCTACTCCCTCCTTTCAGTTAGCTGTAGAGGACGAGAAGGTCTCCCCTCAGCCTCCTTTTCTCCAGGCTGAACAACCCCAGCTCCCTCAGCCTCTCCTCAGAAAATACTGCAGGTAGCTTAAGCACACTGTACAGAAGTATGCAATTTTACTGCAATATTGCATCAAATTAGAGATACAGGAGCAAGCGTGCATTAGAAATAACACCGAGCTGCCAAACTGCAGTGTGACAATTCAGCACAGCCCTTTGGATCAGACCGTAGAACTCTGTGGGTGCCCTCTGCACTAAAAACACAAACCACAATTAAGGAAAACCGGTAAACAACTCCTCTTGGTCAAAAAAAAAAAAAAAAAAAAAAAAAGAAACAGCCGTGTAAATTCATTGTCCACAAAATCTTTCTGGCTCTTCTGGGCATTCATGAAAAGACAGAGCCCTCTGCCGGCTGCTGCTTTTTTTTTTCCTCTCCTTAAATCTAGTATTAGAGATCCAACCATCAGTGCCAAAAGTTATCCAGGCATACACAGTTTTCTTGGTCTAAATCTATTCAGATGGAGTGCAATTTAGATTCCAAGAGCCACTGTCATGCACATAATTCTATTCCTGCAGGAGAAGACCAGGACCTTTGAGAACAGCAATCAGATCTGAGTCAGTTCAGTCCCGTTAGGGAACGTTCCATACAAGAGATACTTAACTTTAGTTTTGCTAAAAATAATTGAAAAATCTTTATTGCTTATTCACATATTTCCAACAGATTCAAGTGCCAAGATTTCAGAAAATGAGGGGAAGCAGGTTAAAACGCTTACCTTTCCCCTGCTGCAGAATTGGTGTGTATTTGATCCCCTTTACTTTAGTAAAGTCTTTACTATCCCCTTGCAGAAATAGTGTGCACTGCGCTGTATGTTCTCTGCGAATACGAAGACACCAGACCAACCCAGCCTGGGTGGAGTTCAGGTAAGAGGAGTGCAAGCTCGATGCAGTTATAAGTCTACAATAAGTATGTCCCTTCAGAAGAAAAATGAGCATTTTGAAGATGCTAAATCCAAATCAGTGTAGTTCCACTTCCGTTCATTGTCCTAACAGAATTACTATAGACTAACACGATACTTATGTTTTTTAATTCCATCATACCACTTAGCTTGGAAGAATTCATGTAGCTTGAAGTAATTTTACCCAAGATGCGTGATGAGTAAAGGGTCACCAAGTCTAAGCCCAGAGCAGAGGTGATGGGCCTCAGAGATGAGCTCCAGTTTGTCTAACCCAAGTGCAAAGCCTTCCCACAGCCCCTTCCCAGCCGTGCTTTCACCACCTCTGTACCCACCAGTGCTGCCAGGTCAAACTTCCATCCTCTGCAGTGGGAGCCTGGGGATGAGAAACTCTTGGGCTGATGGACACTCCTAGAATGCCTTAAAGCAACATGGGCCAGACCATCAAGTTAAAACAGCGCTGTGCAGTGTTAGCCTGAAAAATAGAGTTAATTATTGAAGCACTACAAGTCAACTGATGTTTGGAGTTGGAGACCAGTACTGAAAAGCCCCCAAACTTTACAGAAGTGTGTGGGACGTCTGTGTGCCAACAGACAAAAAGTCTACTCAGGACAGTCTTACTATTGTAGAAAGAAAGAAATGTGCCATGACTTGAACTGAACGTAGGGCATTTTTAATTATTTTAGCTTGCATTTATGAATAGTTTAGGGACAACATGACCACCTGAAAAAAGAAAATGAAAGTAAGATGATGTACAACACTACACATACCAAGAGCTGATCCAACAGACAAAAGGGAGCCATAAATTGGGTTTACGTTGTTGAGGAGCAGGGGTGACAGCAACCGTATCTGAAGCTGCACCCAAGAACAGCCCCGAAGAAAATAAAAGTAAGATGATGTACAACACTATACATACCAAAAGCTGATCAATAGACAAAAGGGAGCCATAAACTGGGTTTATGTTGTTGAGGAGCAGGGGTGACAGCAATCGTATCTGAAGCTGCACCCAAGAACAGCCCCAAAAGCCACACTGATGTGGGATATTAAAGCATCTTTCAACTTATTGCACGGTTTCACTTAAAAAGAGTAGGGCATTATTAGAAAAAGAGCGAGATACCACAAAGTCATAGAAACAAGAGACTCAAGCAGAATGAAGCATCGTACTTAGGAAGAGTCTGGGAGATGATGCTGGAAGAAAAGCTTCAACCAGACCCAAGGCATAATACTATACGGGGCATTTCTAAGCACTCATTTCCCGTCACACAAATCCACCAACTTTCAGAATAAAAAAAAGACAAACCCAAAAACACATTTGAAAGCAAAGCCAAAGGAGGTCTTGGATTACATTTATCATTAACGTAGCTGGACCTGACAATAATTATAAACCCTCAGGCAGAAAGTCATGCACACACAGTGGACATAGCACAGCTGAAGCAGCCTGACATGCATTACCAGAAAATAGAATAAAAGTATCTGCTGCACAATGAAATAATAAATATCCATCAGAAAGACAAGATCTAGGAAAACACCCTCACAGACCAGTATTTTCAGAGAGTTTATTTATAGAATTTGTTATTTCAATTTGGCACAGAACTGGAAAATGCTAATACAATTTGGTGGGACAAGGAAAAATCCCAGACTGATGTTGGTCCTTTGGGGAGAAAAAAAAGAAATGTGAATTACAGACAAGGAACAATTGGAGCTGAAGACATTTTTATCTGAAAATGGGCTCTATCACCTGTAGACAATGAAAAAAAACCAAACAAACCCTGAAAGAACCTTGAGACCTTGGGATGATGTTTCAGAGTTCTCTAGTAATGTAGACTGAAGCTGAGTTTTAACACAGCCCAGGTTGTTTGCTCTGTTGGCAGAAGCTGAGCTCTGCAGAACTTCGCTTCATTTACTGTTCGTGTTTAATCTGGCTTGCTTCTGCTCACTGAATTCAGTGGGAACGCTGCTACTGACTTCAACAAAATCAGGTCTTTCACAGAGGGCCAGTGGAGCCTCTTTGGTTAGCAATGAAGCTCTGCACCCTGAGGAACAGAAATACCAAACGCTTGTAACATGACACTGAGAAGCTGTTTCCTTCTCCTTTTTATAATAGTTTAATCTCTCCTTACTCTTTACTTTGCATCTTTTCTGCATGTTCAGTACCACCAATCACATGAACCTCTCCTCAAGATGCCTTTATTTTGTTGGCATCTATCACACTTTTGGTAGGATCAGTGCGGGCCTTTGACCTTGACCCCAAACATTAACAGCTTAAGGATAAACCCTATAGTTTGCTACTGTGGTGCTCTCGTTCTGGGACCATTTCCACCTCTGATCCTCATTTACCTTGTCCACGTGGACTAAGAAAGGAGCAAAGATCAGGTAGGAACAGGAAGATGAGGAACAGCAAAGAGGAAAAGTGTCTCCAGGGGGAGTCTCAGAAGGAAACCGGACAAGGACTTCTGAACATCTCTGAGATGAGCTGAAAGAGCTGATGTGGCACCTGAAAAACACAACGTATAAGGCTTCAACAGCTTCTCAATATGACCCATGAGTGGCACAAGCTGGTTGTGAGGTGGGAAGACACTGGCAGCAGGTGTCAGCACTTCATTATAAAAGTACAGAAGGTGTGGTTCAGGTCAAACAGTCTTTGAGTCCTCTCAGAGTTACCACAGTCTTGTCTCAGCAAGCTACATTACAGTGAATTGGATATAGGACAGATTTGTCACTGAGGATAGCAGGTCAGAAGACAGACTATGAATGATAATTTGGCAAAATGAAATCTGTAATTGTGTGAAAGAACCTAACTCGCTACAACAAAGCATCGAAAAAAGCACAAATGGCCTGAGAGGGAACCATCCATCCAGGCTCTCCTTCCTTAGAGGCCATCTCCCCCACCTTCATCCTGCCTGGGCTTAAAAATCACACAGGCATTTATCAGTGGTCCATTAAAACTTAACTGTCTGGTTATCTAACCCCTGAAGGAAACAGAAATGAAACTATCAATGTAATGTAAATCAAGAAATGGAAGTAAGTTTCCTCTGCTACAACTTTTCCAGCACAGCCATCTGCTTCTTTCCTCTCCACGTCTCCAGTTTACTGTAAAAACAGATCCACGAAGGGACTGGGTGTAACTGGGGAGACAGAAGCCTACAAAAGCAATTCTGCCATCAGAGGAACTGCAATGGATCCACATCCACAAGACAAAGCAGCCAACCCCAGCTGGCATAACACAGAAGAGATCCAGCACAAGACTCAGTCACTCCTCATTGCCCTGTTCTTGGGGAGCACAACCTCCTGGATTTACATTGTTAAACCAGGAGCATGTAGCATTGCACAGCTGTTGTACAACTCCAACAGGTAAGAGGATGCTACAGAGACATTGGGGTACATCTGTTTGTAAACAAAAAAAAGCAGAGAGAAACGCCAGTGCTGACTCCCCCATACACCTCTTGACCTCCAACCACCATCTATTTAAAAGAAAAAACAAAACCTCTCACACCTGAAGACAATTAGAAAATCTGTTCACTCAAATGACTGTAAAACCAAGCATGTGAAACATCACTAGATGACCACTCAGCCTCACCTATATGGTTAATTCACCATTTGAGTAAGCCATCTTGGTTATTTTCATCATTAATATGCACTCTGTAAATCAGAACATAAACCCACACATAAACCCACCTGTAAACACCTGGCGTCCACACATAAACCCACCTGTAAACACCTGGCAAATATGTTAAAATCAAAACCTGTAGCAATATTCAACCCTTTTATTTCTGTGTCCATTTATTCAGGAAACATTCATTCAAGGAATGCAAGTTAGGACTCTTGGTACAGCACTAGGTACCACCTATGCTACCATCCACTGTTTAGCAGGATGAAAAAGAGAAAATACAGATCAGATGGCTTTAGAATAATTTCCCTTGCAATTATCTTAATCATAAAAGCCACTCGAACCAAAAATCCACTGTTGGAAAACTAACTCTAAAACAATATATTCTCCTATTTCCCTTGTTTGGAGCAAGAATGATACTGTTCTAAAAACTTTAAAAAAAAATATGCAAAGACATACTTTTGTAGGAACTACCTACACCGTGCAATTGTTTTAAGTAGCATCCCTAAAAATGGTAGGAGTGTTTTATGTGGAAAAGGCTAGAATGTAAAGAAGGGTGTTCTAGCCCAGCAGTGAGACACGAGTACGGTATGATTTCCTGCCACTCCGGGCATAAGCCTAAAGTCCCATCCAGGCAGCTGAGACCAAACAAGCACTGGAGCCAGAATAGCAAGATGTTTTAGAATGGAGCGTAAACATAGTCAAATTGCAACAAAGCAATCTAGGATTTAAAGGGGTCTAAACAAGCACGTCTTCCTACTGGAAGAGCAGGTATTTTAGCCAGCACATAGGATGAAGGAAAGGAGGGCTGGAGTTCTTTGTACCTTACCTTCCTAAAGAGAAATAATTTAGGCAAATACTTCTGCTTACTGCTCTACACCTTCAACTAAGATGCAAGTAACCCCTTGCACGATATGCAACATTATCTTATCTTTCATTTCTCACACAGAAGCTAAGTCTGATCACAGCTTACAAGAGGAAGTGATAGAACTGTACCCAAAATAAAAGCAGTCATGTTTCCACAAGGTAAATTTACATATGATTTCAACCTGAATCTAAAACCATAACCTGCCACAGACTTGGTATCAATTTTCTATATAAATATTGTGCATTCAACTTCTGTGACACAATTAGGGTTTTATACCAGGCTAACTATGGCTATTTCTCATATTTGAATTTTAATCTGTCTTTTAACTAATAAAGAAAATAGCTGCTTTTTTATTAGGCTTTAAGTAACTTAGATCAGCCTGGAGGAAAAAAAGCTGCAGTCTTGTAAAATATTACTAAAGCCTTGATAAACATCTGGTTTTTTACTCTTTACTGAGGTTTGGAAGCTCAAGAAGTCTTTCAAAATAGATCAGCCCCTTTTTAAAAAGGGCATATTCGCTTTTTTGACACAGCAGGTAGTAGTTTATTAAAATTAAAAATTGGAAGTTGCTTTGTGTATTATCTACACGTGTAAAAGGTATTTTCAAAACAGCAGCAATACCGTCAATTTTGGAAAAACAGTATCTAAAAAAACCCTACCCATACCAAAAAGCTAGTAGGACTAAGCTTCAGTCTACTTTGCCAGTAAGTTTGCAAAACAGAAGTCTGTACCTGTAGTTGTGCAACATCTGAGGAGGGTCTTTTGGAAATGTGAATATTAGCTAGAAGGCAAGAGGTATCTAGACATGCTCCACTACTGATATGAGGAGAAAAACCTCCTCTTAATCAGAATGGCAGTATGATGAAAGAAGTTAAAAATGAAAATAACTAAGAATTTGATTTAAACAGCCTAAGCTTGTACTGAATAAACTTTGAACAGAAAACATCTGTATTAAATAAGAATTTTAGCTTTCTTGAGGACAGATGGGAAGGCTATCTACTGATAATTCAAATAACAGGTACATTTAAACCTTCTGAAACCCTTCAGAGGGGTGCAAAGAACAACACCACAGATTATTACATTTTTGCAGATAGAAGTCCCCATATTTAAGAGATGCAACAAATCATCATTTGATATCAAAGGGCCTGCGTTCTGTTCTGTGTATATTGGACTGACAAAGAATATTTTTCAGTAGAGTTTTGCATTGTTTTACTTCAAGTGCCACATGTTCTTCCAACTTATTTGAAAAGATTCAAGTTCAAATGGTCTCTCTCTAGGTAGATTTCCACACACCAAGTAACCACAAGCTTTTTGGGATGGCTCAAGACCTTTCTGCAGAAAAGAACACGCCTTAACCTAAAAAGATAGAAAGTTATTTCTGGGCTTGTAGAAAAATTGCTGGTTTGTAATCTCGTGTTGTAAATGGAACCAAACAATCAATTTACTATTTCTGTTAAACTCATTCCATGTGACTCTACCCCATGGAAGCAAGCAAACCCACAAAAAAGAGGTACTGAAGGAAAAGGCTGCTTCTATAGGCACAAACACCAAATGATGAACAAGTCCTACATCAGAGGAAAATCCAGCATGCATCTTTAACACTGTACGCAGAAATCAAGGACAGGAAGTAACTGTTAAAAACTATACAAGGAAACGTTGCCTTCTTTTAAAAAGGTATATGGAAATAATTACAGTGATTAATAAAACACGGATATTCACAACCCATCTGAACTAAACTGGTTTACATCTTCAGGAAAAAAGTCAAAATAGTACAGAACATTCCTTTTTTTACCCCTCTTAAAAACAAGGAGGAGTGCCACACTGTCTAAGATAAAGTGTTGCTGCATATAAATTCGTGTCAACCTTCCTGTGCTTTCTGTTCAGGGGATACAGAACATAAAGTCGTGTTTCCTGCTAAATTGTTTACAGTTATCAGATGCCTATACAAATCAACCTTTTTTTCTACCCAATTAATTATGGAGTTGCTACAACTACAGTAACAAGATGCAACAGGTGCCAAGAAATTCCCATGAGAACTACTTAAGATATTTTATGAATCAATTTGGATTTTTCTTTAGTTCACCTATGTTCACAAATATATACTGTGTATGCACCTTGAGTATAAGAACTGCATGAAAACAGTCTGAAAAAAAACAAACATGGAAACTGAGATGTGAGGCAGTCAGTCCCCTTCCTACTTCTGATTGTTATTATTCTTATTTTATTCTTTTGCAAATACCACCACTGAAGAAACCCAATGCATGATTACAGTCCCCAAACCCACACCAAACTGCTTTGCTGTGCATCTTTCCCAGCAGGTTTTCACACCTGCTCTTCAGACAGAGCATTTGGAGGCTACAAAAGCACAACTTGTACTTCTCCATCAGTCAAGTTTATTTGTGTGATGTTTTTTCCAGATCTGGAAGTTTTTCAATTAGTGCTTTATGGTTCATGTTGATACTGGCTATAAGTCCTCCCTCATTGCCATCTGAGCCAGTGTAACTAATTTCTTCACCAGTCAGAGTAGTCATATGGCCACCCAATGCTCTCAACACTGCATTTCCAGCACATATGTCCCACTTCTTAATGTAGGTGACATGGATATACACATCAGCTTCTTCTTGATTCTTTTCAGCCACATCAAGGAGGGCCAACACTTTATAACCTAGAAGAAGTAAGTAGAAAAAAAAAGTTAAACCAAATTTTCCTATTCCTCAACAAAGGATAAGTCTACTAATAAGTAGATTTACGCACATGCAAGATTTACAAAAGTGATGTCATTAATTACATCATGCCATCCGGTATAATGGCAGAGGCACTAGTAAACTTTGTCTGCCCTCTGACCTGTAGAGAAAATTTGGAAAGGAACATCCCACCTCCCCAGACACACGTGCAAGATTTCTCCACTGCACCCCATTTAAAGCCTTGGGTATTTGGGACACATTTTCAGACAGCCTTTATGAATATGCTACACCCGCTTATGTGGAAAGACATAAGAAGAACAGGACCAGAAACTTGAATATAGTTTTGCTCTTCCTTTCACTCACTTATTTCTCAATCTCTGTATTATGCTGGAGTCTGCCTTTTTTTTCCCCCCCTCACACTTTTTATTACAATAGAAGGAAGATGCATAGACCACTCTAATAAAGCAATTCAGCCCAGGGCATTCCCCTTTATCATACATTATGCAGTACAAAGTCATTCCTCAAAACAGTATTCTTTTTCTCATGGAATTTTTTCAATTTTTTCAACTGTTCAATCAATATCCTTGCTCCATTAAATCGTTCCTTTCTTTGTCTTCTTATAGTCAGGCCCTGGAGAAGATCTACTATAATCAGTTACACTTTCACTTCCTTTATCGTAAGAAAACTCGTTTAGATTCATTGTCAAGAGCCTATGCAAGATCTTCTTGACTAAACAATCTGTAAGGGAGCTCTAACCTTCCATATTAAAGGCCCAGAAAGATATATTTCTGTAAAATTCAAATTTTGCATGGCTTTTCTAAGACTTTAAAACAGCTATTGCTTCCCACTAGTACCTCCCATATTTGCATTCTGTCAGTAACACACACAAGGATATTGTGTCAGGTTACAAAAAGAAAGCTAAAACCTCTTTGGACTGCATATGAGGTAAACAAAAATGGACTTTAGTGAGTGATGCTAGTTTTCTCTTTGGACATAAATGGAAGAAAAAGAATCAAGCTTTAATGGCTTTTTCTTAAAACACTGTTTAATTAAATGTCCTACTAGTTAACTAACAATGAACACATTTGCTTCCATGATTCTATATCTGGTCACACCCTTTTTGGTGCCATCAGTGAATGCACAGCAGTGTGTTCAATGAAAGGACCACAACATCACTACTGGTTATTAACATTAATACTAACTTGTGAATAGCCTGAAGCCTGAACTAAGTTTGCATGTAGTTTTCTATATGTAGAAGTGTGCCAATTGTCAAATGCTTGCTTTTAGAGGTGTGAAAAACAAAAGGTAAGAGGAAAAACAGAAGATGCCACAATTACATTATTTTTTTCTAATAACAGCTATCCTATTAAATCATTCAGAAGCAATAAAATGAAGAGGGTGCTTAAGGAACCAAACCTGCTCCACCAGCGGGGATTATCACAGTCTTATTTCCAAACGTCTGCCGCGCAACCTGCTCCACTTTTCCTGCGTGGGAGCGGGATACGATAATCCGTGGAGTTTTCTCATTGTAGGAGGAACGAGCCTTTACGTTTGACCCACCATCCACCATTGCCCAGGCTACAACAGAAACACAAATTCTGCTAAGATTTACAAAAGGCAACCTCTGTTAAGTGTAAAGATAAAACGGTACTTATCCGAGATAATGGAGTTGATGCCTCTGACTTAATTTCCCCTCCCTACTGTAAAAGAGGTGACAGAAGAAAGGGGTGCATGCCCACATGTGCACACAAGCAAACAGAAACAGTCCTCCCAACACACACACTTTTGTGCATATGGCATTACCCCATGCCTGACTATTCTTGTGCCATACTTCCAAAAAAACAGAGTAAGAGGGAAAAAACCCAAATAGTAATATCTAGAACCTGTGATTGAAAAGCCACCAGAAGTTAAAAGGATGGCTCCGAGTCAGAAATAGAACCAATATTTCCTCAAATAACATTTTTATAAGAACAAGAGATGAGCAGAAGTAGAAAAAAAAAAGTTAAACCAAATTTTCCTATTCCTCAACAAAGGATAAGTCTACTAATAAGTAGATTTACGCACATGCAAGATTTACAAAAGTGATGTCATTAATTACATCATGCCATCCGGTATAATGGCAGAGGCACTAGTAAACTTTGTCTGCCCTCTGACCTGTAGAGAAAATTTGGAAAGGAACATCCCACCTCCCCAGACACACGTGCAAGATTTCTCCACTGCACCCCATTTAAAGCCTTGGGTATTTGGGACACATTTTCAGACAGCCTTTATGAATATGCTACACCCGCTTATGTGGAAAGACATAAGAAGAACAGGACCAGAAACTTGAATATAGTTTTGCTCTTCCTTTCACTCACTTATTTCTCAATCTCTGTATTATGCTGGAGTCTGCCTTTTTTTTCCCCCCCTCACACTTTTTATTACAATAGAAGGAAGATGCATAGACCACTCTAATAAAGCAATTCAGCCCAGGGCATTCCCCTTTATCATACATTATGCAGTACAAAGTCATTCCTCAAAACAGTATTCTTTTTCTCATGGAATTTTTTCAATTTTTTCAACTGTTCAATCAATATCCTTGCTCCATTAAATCGTTCCTTTCTTTGTCTTCTGATAGTCAGGCCCTGGAGAAGATCTACTATAATCAGTTACACTTTCACTTCCTTTATCGTAAGAAAACTCGTTTAGATTCATTGTCAAGAGCCTATGCAAGATCTTCTTGACTAAACAATCTGTAAGGGAGCTCTAACCTTCCATATTAAAGGCCCAGAAAGATATATTTCTGTAAAATTCAAATTTTGCATGGCTTTTCTAAGACTTTAAAACAGCTATTGCTTCCCACTAGTACCTCCCATATTTGCATTCTGTCAGTAACACACACAAGGATATTGTGTCAGGTTACAAAAAGAAAGCTAAAACCTCCTTGGACTGCATATGAGGTAAACAAAAATGGACTTTAGTGATGCTAGTTTTCTCTTTGGACATAAATGGAAGAAAAAGAATCAAGCTTTAATGGCTTTTTCTTAAAACACTGTTTAATTAAATGTCCTACTAGTTAACTAACAATGAACACATTTGCTTCCATGATTCTATATCTGGTCACACCCTTTTTGGTGCCATCAGTGAATGCACAGCAGTGTGTTCAATGAAAGGACCACAACATCACTACTGGTTATTAACATTAATACTAACTTGTGAATAGCCTGAAGCCTGAACTAAGTTTGCATGTAGTTTTCTATATGTAGAAGTGTGCCAATTGTCAAATGCTTGCTTTTAGAGGTGTGAAAAACAAAAGGTAAGAGGAAAAACAGAAGATGCCACAATTACATTATTTTTTTCTAATAACAGCTATCCTATTAAATCATTCAGAAGCAATAAAATGAAGAGGGTGCTTAAGGAACCAAACCTGCTCCACCAGCGGGGATTATCACAGTCTTATTTCCAAACGTCTGCCGCGCAACCTGCTCCACTTTTCCTGCGTGGGAGCGGGATACGATAATCCGTGGAGTTTTCTCATTGTAGGAGGAACGAGCCTTTACGTTTGACCCACCATCCACCATTGCCCAGGCTACAACAGAAACACAAATTCTGCTAAGATTTACAAAAGGCAACCTCTGTTAAGTGTAAAGATAAAACGGTACTTATCCGAGATAATGGAGTTGATGCCTCTGACTTAATTTCCCCTCCCTACTGTAAAAGAGGTGACAGAAGAAAGGGGTGCATGCCCACATGTGCACACAAGCAAACAGAAACAGTCCTCCCAACACACACACTTTTGTGCATATGGCATTACCCCATGCCTGACTATTCTTGTGCCATACTTCCAAAAAAACAGAGTAAGAGGGAAAAAACCCAAATAGTAATATCTAGAACCTGTGATTGAAAAGCCACCAGAAGTTAAAAGGATGGCTCCGAGTCAGAAATAGAACCAATATTTCCTCAAATAACATTTTTATAAGAACAAGAGCCCCCATAACCCTTCAAAGCAGATAGCAAAAATAATATTGAGTCATTTTGTTCAGAAGGATAGTAACGCTAAGGAAGGAAATGGCTCAGGAGGATGGTAACACTAAGGAAAACTTGTGATGGTGTGTTTCGGAGGATTTAGAATACACAACCTCCCACTTGTTTCATCAAGAGGTTCAAAGCCAAGCTTGGTAGGTGGCATCCCCTAACCATTAATTTGACATTTACTTAGCAGACTAACCAGCAATTTCATCTCAGTAGAGGGCCAGACTGTATGGCAACAGGCTGAATTATGAGTAATAACAATGCTTACTGCCCTTATTGCTTTGTATTTGCACAGCAGTATTAGGAACAATCCTACTCACAACACATTGATATTTCCAGCTTGGCAAATGATCACTCTTCACTTGGAATGACAGAATTCATTGCATCTCATCTGATGCCACGTCTGAACATTTCACACTTTACTATTATAAAGGAAGACAAATTCTCAAATTTACAGCACTAAAAAAAATAAAAATATTTCTTCAGATGGATGTTGATACTCAGAAAAATACGTTCCAAAATACCCCAAGATTCTTAAAGCATATTGGAATATGGCATATACTTAAATGACTAGAAATTAAGTTCATATTTAAAAACAGCACAAAGTATCGAGTGTTCAATAAGCAAAAAAGAGAACAAATAAAAAATATATTTATTCAGTCTTAGTTTCTGTGCCAGAGCTACTGCATAACTTCACAACTCTAGATGTCAGTATTGCCTAAGGGAAAATAAGAACAGAAATTCTGGTTTCAAATATGTAAGACTTGAATGCTAAAACTGCTTTGAAGCTTTCAAAAGTGGATATATATTGCCAAATTTTCAGCCATCCTCACTGATATATCATTAATACTAAAGAATTAATTAGTTGTACCATTAAAAGCATGTCAGAGAGTCAATAAGGACATGCTACACAATCTTGCCTGTTACATACAAACAGTTGCCATTAAGATCTTTAATCTACCTTTGTTATTCACACTGAATAAACACCAGCTCCTGGGTATAATATCATGGACCTAAGTTCTTCTCCTGAATGAGTAAAGTACCCTTCTACTAGTGACTAACAGCACATATAAGACTGGTCAGAACGTGTAGGTTTCACTTTCTTTGGTGTGCTATAAACATTGATTGAAGTGGTCTTAATTTTAAAGCATATTTTCAGTTAGTTTGGTTTAAACGCATCATTTTTTATGTTAAACAAGGGCAGCATTTTCCTTTGTGGTTTTATAGAACAGAACACATCTGCAGCTCTAATTCTGAGGTCTGCTTCAGTGCTCTTTTGCCCCAGGTACTATTTTCTCATTCATACATACAGATGTTCTCTCAAACATCAAATTTTAATTAACACTGTGACTGAAGATGCTGGAAATACACGAAGGCATGAAGGTACCTGTATATGACGAGAAGGGCTTGTGTATCACTCCTATTACTGGTTTCCCATTTACAGCCACACAAACCATTGTCGTGACGTACTGTCGAAGATCCTCTGTGGGCAAAACCAGAAAGTGAACCAGTTTACAGCCAGATGCCAAGAACATAAAAAGAAAGCAGACCCGACATTATAAAAATGTTGTGCTTTTAAGACTAGTCTATATTCTGCCTCTTACTGTAGAACTTTGTTGTATCTTCAAATAACCTTGAGGTTTTCAAGACTTTAAAGACTTTTCATTTTTTTCAGCAATTTTTCCTGTTGAAGCTGGATCTGGTAGGAATATAGATTACTCATCTTTCGCAGTATGTATTTTCAGGGAAATTTGTTGCCCCATATTCTCCTTTCTCTGTCCCACCTCCTATTGATTCAAGGCTGATAATTCAAATCCCAAAGAATATTCACCTGAAAAGGTGACTGTATCAATGGAACATTCACAAAATAACCTCTATTTTTCTGTTTGTTCTGCAGTATTTATCAGCAAGAATTGTAGTTACATTGCCTTGAACTGCTCATGTGACATCTTAAAACATTTGAAAATAGGGAAGGTTGAATTATGCATGCTTTTTTGAAAAACGATTTTTTTTGTATCAAGTTCAATAGGAAATTCACTTAGTATTCCCTTTAAATAAACAAACAACAAATATTCTGAGATAATTAGTGTTGCCACAGTAATAACTGAAATAAATGTGTAACTCCAGCAGAATTCATAAAGGACAGTTACCATTTATTTTAGCAATTATTTAGTGGCAAGAATATCAAAGTAATTTCAGGGTTAGTATATGTAAAAGTAAATGATGCGCTCTGATAGAGATTTCATTATGCACTTTGTGCAATTAAATCACGCAAGCTTTGACGTAACACACTTTAACAAGAGATGCCATTTTAAATACTTACTATTTTGTCTCCAGTTTAAAAGGCAGACACCAGAATTACACACATGATTTGTCAACAAGAATCAGCTACCTGTGTATTCTTGTGTAGCATCTAACGGATCGATCCAGACAGTAACACTTTCTGCTGGAACCTCTTTAGGCTGTATTTTTTGTTTTATGTCTTCAGGAATACTGCGATCCCAAGGGATTGTCTCCTGATCAGCTGTATCAACACGCTCTTCAGAGTTTATCTGTAAGACAATAAAAGTAGTTGCATTAACTTATCAGACATGGTAGCTGTGGGACTTGGGGAAAATTACAGGTTTGTCAAGTTATCTTTTCTTTCCCCATGTTCACTCCCAGCTAGAACTGTGTGAATTGGTAATTTTTCAGCAACTTACAAGCTATTACTGTCATGCGACAAACAGTGGAAAACAACAATCCAGAATTTTTACTGCGACCCATACCACAGCCAGATGCTGTTTCTTTGGCTGCAGCTCTTGCTACTGAACGCTCTCACAGTACAAGTCAAAGGTGTTTTTTTTTTTAAATCAAAAGCTAAACGTAGTTGCTTCAAAGCAGAACATTTGACTTGGGAGAATCATGCGGTACGGAGAGATAGTAGGGGTCTAATATTCCATTTATACAGATCAGTGGATGCAGATTGAAATGTACAGGTATTTTATCAACAACCACTTTGCAGCCTGTGGTATGACTTGAGGGAGTAGGAACCCTGGTATATATTCCTGCTTCTGGCACTGAGTTACAGCAAGCAATTTAAGCAGCTCAGCACAACGTAACCATTATAAAACTACCAGATGTATGTTATTTTATAAACAAGTTAGTAATATTCTATGTCTGTCTTTAGGATAGGTTGGGCTAAGGACCTAACAAGGCCCATGAAGAACATTTATAAGCAGCAGTCAAAGGTCACACTTAAGTCTATTATCACTTGCTGCCTAGCTTAATGAATTTATTCTGGACCAGAGGGCATTTCAGCATGCTGAACAGTTTGCTCCAGTAGTGGGGCACAGTCCCAATCCGTTGGATAGAAGAATGTTCTGCAAAACCCAATACAATGTCATTGCAACTGCAGCAGCAAGGTATTGTTGGATCACAGGAGATGAAGTTAGCATAGAACACGTACGTAATTATTCTCATGTTACAAACCAGCACATAACCTGGGGAAATATACATCAATCTGCCTTAACCCATCCAGAGCAGCTTATGACCACTGCAAACACGGTTTATCGGAGTGTTGTAACGCGACTGGACATAAGTAGTGCTAACAGGAACGTATATGAAGTTGGACTAGAAGATTTCCAGAGGTCCTTTCCATATCATTCTGTGATTCTGTGAAATTAATCCCATTTACTTTTAGTTACAATACAGTTACATCAGTAGACTACCATTTCTATGCTCCTTCTGCCAATAAAAAGGAAATCATTGCACGTGCAACTTTCAAGCTTCAGCCTATGTGAACCCTTCGGAAATGCATCACTTCACTAATTACTCAGTAGGATGATCCTTATGGCTTAGATGTGTCAGTTACGTGTCTGAAGTTGAGTGTAACCGATTTGGACTTTTAGCACATTTTGGAATATGAGGAACACGAGCTTTTTTTTAATTCTTACTAACGTTAAAGGTGGCTTTCTCTAATATAATTCTAAAGGGATGCCAAATGGACTAGCTGATGTCCAGTCAAGGCAAAATAGCAGGTCCACATGGGATGCAATGTGTCTACAGCCTAGAACCACCCATTTCCCTTTACTTGCTGCAGATAGAGTTGAGGCTGCGAGCTCCAATTCTGATATCTGACTGCTAGAGCAGATAAACCCCCCCTGACTAAACCCACCTGTTATTACAGATGTAGGCAAGTGACATTGAAAGGCAATGAAAATAAAGAAACAATCAGACTATGATTGAATGTTACAGACTTAGTATCAGCAAGATTTTTACATAATTCGCATCAAGACATCACACACCTCAACTCTAACAGATCATTATCAAAGGGTTAAGGGCCATCTTCTCCAAGAGAATTCAAAAAAAGTAAGCAGGCAGAATTGCAGCAACTCCAGCCATACATCATAGCTGTCTTCTCATGTAAAACCATTGTACGCCAAACACAGCGCCCTTGAAGTTGCCGTGACATTTACAAATTAAACATCTGTCACTGTACAATAAACCTGACGATTGTGTTTTCCCCTAAGGAAAACAGTCCTGCAAAGTCAAGATGACTAGTTCCACAGACTTGGCAGCCTCAACACAGCCCCCAGGCAGTTTAAGTTCCACTACAGCATATTACGCACCACCGTTAAGAACACATTTCCTCAACAGAAGGAAGGGGCCTCCAAAAAGTTAAAGGGTTGCAACCAATCCTCAAAAGGAATAATAACTTGTTAAACCTGTTGTTGCAGTACACTAAAGTTAAAAGACTGAAACTATCTGAAAGGTATTGTTTTCAGAGAAAGACCTCCTGCTAGTTCAAACTTTCTAGCAGTGGCCATGAGGCTGCAGCGTTTATAACGCCTGTGAGGAGCCTCTCAACAGCCGTGATTAATCTGCCAGGAAACAGGGGAAAAAAGGTAATAGTGATGACACTGCAGAGCCACCTGTAGGAAATAAATAAATAAATCAAAGAAATCGACCAGGTCATTAAGTTTTTCCATTCATATGACCATCTACTCTGTAGCGCTGACCAAATACTCTACAAGTCATACTCCAAGTAGAAATTTATAGCCATTACGCTACATGCAGTTATTAAATTTATTTGTTGCTAGGAAGCTACATTAAAAACATGCCTTTGTGTTAATATGATGTTCCATTCCTACTTGTCATTGTCATTTGCTGGAAGCCTCCAGAGGCCATGACCTAACATTTCAAGCTTTTCTGTAGTGATATGGATACGTAGTTGACTGTATTCCTGAGTCTTTACTCGGAAACGGGGACCAGCTATGCATCCTGGAGTAGCTGCTGTGTTTTGGATATATATAGTATGACAATAATGTTGATAACATATTGTTTTAGTTGATGCTAATTAATCATAGAATGGTTTGGGTTGGAAGGGACCTTAAAGATCATCGAGTTCCAACCCCCTGCCATGGGCAGGGACACCTCCCACCAGACCAGGTTGCTCAAAGCCCCATCCAGCCTGGCCTTGAACCCCTCCAGGGATGGGGCAGCCACAGCTTTCCTGGGAAACTTGTTCCAGTGCCTCACCACTCTCACAGGAAAGAATTTGTTTCTAGTATCTAATCTAAATCTCCCCTCTTCCAATTTAAAACCATTACCCCTTGTCCTGCCACTCCTTTCCCTGACACAGAGTCCCTCCCCATCTCTCCTGTAGGGTCCCTTCAGATGTTGAAAGGCCGCTATAAGGTCTCCCTGGAGCCTTCTCTTCTCCAGGCTGGACAACCCCAGCTCTCTCAGCCTGTCCTCACAGGGGAGGTGGCTCCATCCCTCTGATCATCTTTGTGGCCCTCCACTGGACCCGTTCCAATGGATCCATGTCCTTCCTGTGTTGAGGACTCCAAAGCTTGACACAGTACTCCACTTGATTATATCAAGTCAAGGACTTTTTCAGCTTCCCATAGAACCTGAGAGAGATTATGGACAGGACAAGCTGGCCAAAGGAATATTCCATACCTTAGACGTCATGTTCAGTATATAAATGGGGGTTGGCCACTGGGCAGGGATCCATGATCACTGCTTGGGGCAGGCTGGGCAATCATCGGGTGGTGAGTGATTGCATTGCATCACTTTATTTTGTGAATTCTTTTACCATTATTATTTTCTCTTCCTTTACTGTGCTATTCAACTGTATTTATCTCAACCCACAAGTATTTTTCCTCCTTTTTCTTCCTCTTCTCCCTATCCTGTTGAGGTAATGGTGTGAGTCAATGCCTGCATGGTCCTGGTTGCCAGCTAGGGTTAAACCACGACACTATGGTAGAAAGACAATCACAATGGCAAAAGTTTCAGATAATAGGTTGATCCACCAAGACACCGAGTGAATTAAACTACATTAGTGTAAATAATTATAAAGTTTGCATGCTTGCAATCACATGCATAACTTTGCATATACATCCCCAGCCTCCACTGAGACGGCAGACCAAAGGACCCTGCTAGCACCATGTTCCTCAAACATTGCCACCCCCAGTCTAGCAAGCCCTGTTTTATCCCTTTCCCTTTCAGATTCAGATAGCAAGCCATCACACAAGAACTTGAGAAAGCAAGTAGAAGACAGAAATAAATAGCTATTTGGGGCTAGCCACCTAACAGCAGTAGGCTGTAAAAGCCTGCCTCAGGAAGTTCTGTAAGCTGCCCACCAACACCAAGTTTAACTACACTTAAGCCATCTTCTCCAGTTATGCTTGAAGGGAACTCCCTCCTCACAAAGAAGCACTTCATCAAACACAGAGATTTAATAAAATACATGTAAATTGTGAAGGGACTACTGCTGAAACCAAAAAAGTTGTCAACCAAAAAATTTCATAAAGAGGCAGTCTGGAAACATCTCACCAGCACAGAAACTCTTCAAAACAAGTCCAAGGTGCAGGAATCCTGTAACGGATGAGGGATGCTGCTCACAGAAACCGCCAGCAGCAGAGGTCCAACAGCAACATTAGGACCAGTACATGGTGTACCTTCTGAAACATCCAAGTGTTCCCAGCCTTCAGAAACCCATTGCCCAGAAAACACTTCTCCTCTGGCATGTTGGTGATTGGAATATAGAACTGCTCAGGGACACGTGAAGCAACTCAGAAGCGTGCTACAAACCCGTGTGGATAAACGCAGTGCTCTGAACAAACAGCCAACAGTCCCAACCATGTAAAGACTTCAGGGAACCTCACAGTGGCTTGTTGTCCTGTGCTGGACTACTCCCTACCAGCACTTCGCCACGTCTTTGTGGCAGCCCACCACCCAACAAACCCACTTGAACACCAGCTAGCTGTCTGTGGCGAGGTGAACAAACTCAGGCTTTTTCATGGCTTGAAAGAGTAGGACACAGCTGTAGTTTTGTCTTTGAATTCAGACATTAAAGATGAATTAAACTCAAAATACTTAAAATAAACAGAAGTTTCTGTTCAAATACATAACTGATTTTTTCTGAATAAACATCAGAACATGAAAATGCAATGCTTTTCTTAGAAAGTGTTTGGTAATATACAAATTTTATTTAAATTTATTACCACCCCAACTTCCCCACACCTTTATCCATCCGAGTTGGACTAGATGACCTTTAAAGGTC